GTCACTTAGAGGTCAGATGCCTGTCTTGTGACAAGGAACCAATCAGAAGTTAGCTGGTGGCGCTATGCTTTACGACCCTGGGTGTGCTTTACGGACAAGCGCACGACAATGACGTAGAGAGCATAGCAACCACCCTGGGAGGGCCTATGAGCCATAACAACCAGTTGACCAATCAACACAGGGCAAGCCCTCCAAGCCTGGAGGCACACCAATCGTGAGCCTGTGCGTACCCCTAGACACTCCCCTTACGCTGCCCTATAAGATCTTTTGGGAGCCCGTAGGAGCCGTCTTTTTCTAGCCGTCTGCCATGGCGGGTGGGTGAAAGACCCGAGCTAACATGGGGTTAGTTCGTTAAATTACAATAAAGCCTCGTGCAGTTTGCAGCAAGCTCTCGAATCCGCCTGGTGATTGGGGTGACCTCGAACCTGGCCTGAGACCCCGGATACTTGAGTACCTGCCCTGCTTGAGTTCCTGTCCTGACTTCCCTTTATGATGGGCTGTTGTTACCTGGAGGTATAAGTGAAACTTCCAAAGTTGCTTTTAGTTATGGTGTTTAATTATGGCAATAGACACCCTAAGACAACATTCATCACCATCATTATCTATCACCATCATTACCATCATCATTGCCCCAATGTGGATGGGGCCATCCCTGGACTGGTGGTCCTGGGTTCTGTAAGAAAGTAGGCTGAGCAAGCTATGGAGAGCAAGCCAGTAAGCAGCACCCTTCATGGCCTCTGCATCAGCTCCTGCCTCCAGGTTCCTGCCCTGACTTCCCTGTGATGGACTGTGACCTAGAAGTATAAGTGGAAATACATCCTCTCCACAAGTTGCTTCTGATCCTGGTGTTTATCACAGCAAATGTAAAGCAAACCAGGACATGCACCCAACAGGAAGAGGCAGAGGTGGGATTTGAACTCAGGTCTGCCTGCTACAAAGTGGTGAGATTCTGGCCCCTACCATGCTCCACATGTAGTCAGTCCCACCAGTGGTGGCCCCAGTCATGGGGATGGAAGTGGGCACGCTGGCTACATATCTTTGCTAAGGTATCTTCACAAGGCCATAATTAGAGGGGACCCCACTGTACACGTCCAATGAGACACTCCCCTTACTAAAGTTGCAAGGATAAAGACAGGAGGTCTCGCTTCAAAACAGCCCCCTCACCATGAGCTGGAGGTGGCCTCAGACACAGGGAACCTGTCTCCTCCTGAGCAGGGATAGCTTGCAGAGGGGTCTGAGTCACACCTCAGACCCCGAGCCTTCTAGACTCAGTCTGCTAAATGTGAGTCTCAAGACACCTCAGTGGCTGTTTCCCCACACACCTAATTATCTGTTACGGGGTCTTCTGTAGCCCAGGCTGGCCTGGAACCGATATGTAGCTGAGAATAACATTACGCTTCTGATCCTCCTTCTTCCACCATTGGAGTGCTGGGGTGACAGGAGTGGCCACCAACCTGGATTTATGTGATGCTGGGTCCAGGGCTTTGTGCATTTGAGCCAAGCACTCTACCTACTGATTTTCATCGCCCCTTTAAAATCATCCCCATTCGCTCCATTCTTCACCCCCCCCCCCCCCCCCACTACACAAAGCCAGAAGGAGGAGATGACCGAGGACATTCCTTGTGTCTCACGGGGATGAGTCAGTGTGGAACGAGCCCTGCTGGTCCCTCTGCAGGACGCAGGAGGCATCCTCAACCCCTTCCCCCACAGTTCTGCACATCCAAATCCACTTCCTCCCGCAGAGTGGCTTTGGGGTCCCAAAATAACTTCAGAGTCACAGAGCCTAACATGACGCAAGAGCTGGCTCACAGGTGCACCTCCCCCGCTGCAGCCCAGCCAGGAAGCTGCTCCCCACTGACTCTACCACTGCAGTCACTGGCCACGTGGCCACGTGGCCGCCACTTACCACAGAAGGAGATGATGTGGCTACTGTCCTCGTGGACAAACTTTCGGGTAACAGCCTCCTCCATGATCTGCTTCACCTGCAGAATGCACAGGGGTGGGAGAGAACGATCGGATGGGGTGCTGCACCCCAGGGCCTATGCTGTACCCCCAGAATTGTCCAAAAGCTGTCTTGGGTGTTTGGGTAACCCCCTTTTCCTTCCACAGCCTCTTCATCTCAGGCAGATCTGTGGCTGAAAGCTACACTTTGCCCACTTCACTTAATTTGTACAGTTTATCACCTCTTCCAGATATCACACACAATGCCCTCCCCTGTCCACAGTTTCCAAAACTGTTCTCGTTCCACCTCCAACACAGATCCTTCAAAGGACACACTGCTGTTGCTGCTCTGATTCCTGTGGTCTCCTACCTGCATCTCCTCTCCAGAGTGTAAGTCCCTGTGCCTTGACCTTTGCCTTATCCACAGTGCATATTAGGTGCTCAATAAAGATCCCTTGGATATATGGTAAGTGAGTTCAAAGATAAAGGAATTGGGGGGGGCAGCATGGGGACAGTCAACTATGGGATCCTGGAAACCTTGGTTCAAACCCCTGCATGGGGATCCAGCAGGTTTGTGAGCTTTGGGAAGTAGAGGCTCAGGAGAGTCCACATGCCAGGGAGGGAGGGAACAGATGAAAATGGAATACCAGCTTGGGTCTCCATCACAGGCTATGGCTGTCCTCATAGCACTCGGCCCCTGCCATGCACTGTTGCGTGACTCCGGGACACATGCAAGGTCATTTTGGGAAAGGACAGCTGGCCTCAGGAACAGTAGTGACCTCTGAGGTTTGAAAGCCCTCTGGATTCCCCAGGCTTGCACACCACTGTGCCCAGAGGCCTTGTGAGATTCAAGCAAAGCCTTTCTCCCTGGGCCTCAGCTTCCCCACCTTGAGCCTGAGGTCAAGAAGTGATTCAAACGCTTGTGTCTGAAATCCATCACAGGACCTCTAACACAGGACAAAGGAAGCCAAGTCCCGGACTCCCCACCCCACCCACTGAGGTTTTCTTACAGCTCACCAAACACCAGCCTTAGGTGACCGCAGCCCCTGCAGCCCCTGTCTCTTCCTGAAGGCACACACGGGACAGAGCATTGCCAGCACTGCCACACAGTCACTAAGTGCTCAGAGGCAGCCTGGCAGCCACAGCCCATCCACCAGTGACCAGCTACAACAGTCGGGAGCCAATCTAAGCCTGAACCCCTCTGCAAGACCCAGGGCATCACCCTGCTTTACAGATGTGACTTTGCTATTTGAACCCAGGGCCTCACACATGCTAGGCAAGCACTCTACCACTGAGCCACACCGCCAGCGGAATCTTTCATGAGTGCCGTGGAAGGAAACAGAAAGTCAAAGGCAGAAAGGCAAACAGGAAAATCCACAAATGTGCAAAAATGAAATAGCTTATCTGCCAGTCCAAGAAGTCCCAGGAGACATTGGAAGAGATCTTGAGATAAATTGGAACAATCACAAACACATGGCCTACTAAATGTGAGAGAGACTTACCAGATTCTTATGAGACCTACTAGGTGAGAGAGCCCTACTAGGTGAGAGAGACCTACCAGGTGAGAGAGAGAGTTACTAGATGTGAGAGAGACCTACTAGATGATGTGAAACCTACTAGATGATGTGAGACCTACTAGGTGTGAGACCTACTAGGTGGGAGACCTACTAGATATGAGTCCTATTAGATACAGGAGAATAGCTCTGAGGAAAAGTATAATGGGAGACCACGATGTTAAAAGGAGGGCTTACCTTTACTTCTTAGGAATTAGTAAACAGGAAGAAATAAACACAGGGCAACAGAAAGAAGGAGATAATAAAGACTGAAGCAGAGATGAAATGAAATATTGGGCCAGCAAGATGGCTGAGTGGGTAAAGGTGCTTGCTGCCAAGCCTGACCATCTGAATTAGATCCCCAGGGACCCACATGGTGGAAGGAGAGAATGGACTTTCAGAAGTTGTCCTCTGACCTCTGCATGCATGCTGTCACACAATAAATAATGCAAGAAAAGCAAATAAATGAGAAATGAAAGAGAGTGGAGGGCTAGACTTGGTGGCTGGGAAGTAGCTTGCTGACCCAGCAGGGGTGGGGCTCTACCAAGCTAATGTCCTGAGTCCTGGCCCAGCCTTTCCCCCAAGCTGATCTAGCCTGGGACAGCTGAGGGACTCTGCTAACTGGATGACACTCCCCACAGTGTGATGTGCCACGACTCTGCAGTGGCTGCTGTGTCTCAGGCAGGCGTGGTTCTGCTGCCAGTGTCCTCCTGTTTTTTGGAGGCAGCCATCTGCCTGTCCCCCCAGGGCTGCTCTGATGCAGCAGCTCTGCTGCCTGCCTGTGTGCAGAGACACCAGGCCCCATCTGCTGTGTGTCTCCAAAGGAAGCCATGAGCCTCCTCAGGACATGTGGCAGGTCCCCAGCTTTCTCTTAGGGCTGGGGTGGGGGAAGGAGGCAAACAAAGAACCAGCCTTGGTAAGTTCTGCAGTGGGCACCTCAGACCTGCCCCACTCTGCTTTCTAGAATGTTTCGTCTCCTCCCATTCCTTCCCCTGATATTTCTCTCAGGCCCCAAACTCTCTTGCTGTGGCAGGTCACCTCCCTGACTGGCTTTGTGCTGGCTGGGTTGTATCTCCTTTCCCCCGGACTGGTTATTTTAAAACACCACCTTCTACTAACTCAGAATATGATCATATTTGAAAAAAATGTTTAAAATTAGGTCACTTTGGTTGCCCCTAATCTAGTATGAACAGTGTCCTCATATGAAGAGGGAAATAGGGACACAGGACGGACGGTCCAGAGAGAAGATGGCATCTAGAAGCCAAGGAGACAGGTCTGGACGGTCCTTCCTTCACAGTCTCCAAATCTTCAGCACATTCCTTCTCTGTGCGTCCATCCGTCTGTGGTATTTTGTTACAGCAGCCCAAGCAAATGGAAGCACCACCCTTTGCAGCATCAGGACCATGTCCTCCTCATCTCTGTACCTTTGCCTGAACCAATGAGCTACCCAGCTCCTGAGCATCTTCCTCTTCCCACGCCCCACTCCTTCCAAGGGTAGACCAATTCTGGTGTCCGTGGGGTATAAGAACTGGCACTGTTGTCTCCCTTGGGCAGTTCTGAAGGGCCTTCCCAGCTCCCCCCGCCCCAGGCATCCACAGAGGGACCATGCCCCTTCAACCACCTCTGCTCACGCCCCTCCCTTGATCCTGAACTCATCTCCATCCAGAACAGCAGAGCTGCACTGCTGAGTGTGGGACCCAGAAGTAAGAGCATCATGGTGAATAACAGGGACCAGAAGACCACCCCCAAATCACAGCCAGGTGGGAAGAGCCCTTTGTCTCATTGGTCAGATCTGAGTGCAAGACACGAGAGAGTGAACTGTGGGGGTGGGGCCCATCCTGGAGGCTTTGGGGACAACGATCTGGGTGGGATAAGAGGCCCAGGGAACCACAGAAGTTCAGCTCAACTCTTGGCCCTTCCCCCAGACTCACTTTACATGGCCCAGGCTAAGAATATTCACTAGTGGGGCAGTTCTCACCCATGCTCAAACTGCATTGGAACATCAAAAAGGAAGGGGATGGGTTTCCATACCCATTTTCCAGAGGGAAGAGGGGCAGGGGCTATGAGAGGAGGCATCGACCAAGCTCCCCCAGGAAGGAAGGAACCTTGTCCGAGCCCATCCCTGCATGGCTGCCCTCTGAGCCCTCCTCTCCTGCTCCCCATCCAGGTAATCATGAATGATGCTGCTGGTTCCTGGTCCCCACTGTTGGTTCACCCGCCTGAGAACTAACTCCCAGCCGCCTTCCCTCTCTCTAACCAATAACCTCTTTATTAAACTCATTTTCCTCAGAGCAGTTTCAGGGAACCATCTGTTTCCTATGGGCACCTTGACCGGACTGTCCACACACACACTGAATTAAGTCCAAAGCCATCTGTTGATGGCCGTGAAAGGAAACTCAGAGAGGTCCAGCCCCTCTCCTGAGGTTACACAGCACAGAGCCCAGGGCTGTCACATGGGGTGGGATGAGGGGTGGCAGAGGGACTGCAGCAGTAGGGGTGGGTGCCACTGAGACCCTCCCACCTCGCTCATCTCCAGGTCTAGCTAAATGGTTTCACAGAAGTTAATGGCAAGCTCAGCCCGAGGCCTGCAAAGGAAATTAAAAAGGCTGGTGAATGGCAGGAGGGGCAAAGCCTCCCTCCCACAGGTCACCGAAGCCTTTGGAGGAGGGCACTGTCTTCACACAGAGGGCACGAGGCCATGCCCACTCTAAGGGAGACAAGTCCCCTGGACAGACCAGGGGCAGGGCAGTCTGGGGAGGATGGTTGGAGGCCAAAGCCCTTTTTATCTCAGCAGGCTCCCAGGTGTGGCTTGGACCATTTCAACCCAGAAAATTTAGGCTCATGAAGCCCCGGATTGCTGGGGGGCAGTAACTCTGGGTTGACATTTCTAACCTTAGGGGCTGTGGGGTTTTCTAAGATTTGATCTTGAGCACGCAGGGTGATGAAGGTGCCACCCCAAAGCCACACAGACCTTGTCTGAGCTTTCTAGACCCACCCAGCTGGCACCTCAAGGTGCCCTTCTGTGATGTGGGACTCTGCACTGCTGTGAGGACAACACGGACGAAAGGGCAGTCAAGGTACCATAGCACACAGTAGGCACTTATTTATTTTTGAGGAAGGGTCTCATGTAGCCCAGGCTGGCCTCAAACTTTCTATGTAGCTGAGGGTGACCTTGAACTCCAGATTCCCCCTGTTCTCCACCAAGTAAATTTTAGGATTACAGGCCTGAATCCCGGCTCCTATTGTGTGTGGTGTTATAGATGGAATCCGGGGCCTCCAGCTCACCAACAACTCTACCAATTGACCTACATTCCCAACCCCACACTCCCCCAGCACACTTCAGAGACTATGTGCAAGTACAACTATCCTAGTAAGGGTTCAGTTTCCTTTACGGGTGGAGAAACTAAGGCATGGGATTTTTTTTTTCTTTTTTGGGTAATTCACCCAAGGTCTGAGGAGAACAACCCAAGGTCCTTGTTTCACAACAAGCTACTGTTCGGTTTTAAGGAAGAGAGAGGTTTTACTGAGCATATTCTATGGCCTCAATGCTTGTGAACAACACCTTCCTCGATGCTCATACAGGCATCATTGTCTTTACATATATAGAGGATCAAGGTGCGTGGCGCAGGCATCGGTCATGTCCTTAGCATGTGTGGGGACTCCACCCTAGCACTGTGATAGGGCAAGACAGTGCAGAGATTCCTCCATGTTGGATTCTTGCCTAGGCCATTTTAGGTTTAACTAGAATTTGATCTCCTTGGTGGAAAGCCCCCTGGAAAATTGCCCAACCATATTCTAGAACCCAAGGCCATGATGCCCCAGG